AACCCTAGACTGGGCCATTTTTAAGTGCAGAGTGATTTAAAAATTCGTGTATTTCTTTCCCTAGTCATCATAGCCTAATTAGACTCTAGATGTCATAAGGAGCCTAATGAACCCTAGGTTGCCGAAAAATCATCGGGCGATTGGCGAGTCGCCGACCAAGGCCGCAGTCGTACCAACCGCGTGCGCACCGAGGCCACAGCGTGCCAGCGCACGCATCAGCCAGTGACTAGTAGCACGTCCGCGCGCGCTCCATCCTTGTAACGCGCATATGTCCGCGCCCTACCGCAACGCCCCGTCGTCGAGCCACCCTAGTGTGCACCAGGAGTCCCGCGCCCCTGCGCCCTATGCCGCCAGCTGACACAAAACATTTACTGCATATTTACCTTTTTCGTGTGTAAATTCAATCCCTTCAGTCCACACAAATAAGATAGATGAACATCAACAGAAAAACGAATAAAAAACATAGACACATATACAAGAACACACATCTCATACACCATACTGCTATATCACACTATCATATTTTTTTCATTAAAATTATGGAGAAAACGCTCTCCTTGTCGATCTCCTCAATAGGTTCGCAAAATCGGTCTCTCGTCTCTTTTCTCGCTTATTTACTTTCCTATGTCGTGCAATTTCTTACCTTTAAATCCACCACAAATTATATCGTAACCCTCAATTTAACCGCGTAATTAGTATCATTCATGACTATTGACGATTGACCGTCAATAAAATATTCTAAAAAATTTAATCTAAGACAATTGCACATAAGCATCATAAAGCGCATTACACTAATAAAAAACAAAATTAAAACTTAACAAGATCTCACACAGAAGAATAAAACACTCTGGTAATAGGGGTCAACTAAAAAGCTCTAAAAAAATGAGTGAATAAGCTAAAGTCTACCTCCTCAAGCAAATTCACCGCTTAATCACAAGTTTCAAACCACCAACGACAACCCACGAAAGAACGTCACCACTAATTATAAATTATTTATATATACGTAATATATAGTCTTTCACACACACACACACACACACATACACACATATATTCTACAGATTTTTTACAACAGTTGTTGGTTAGTATCCTAAAATTTTTGATTTAGTTTAAACCAAATTCTAATTTTGAATGAGAACTGAAAGTAGTCGAAAGTGTTTGTATTTAAATTATTTTTTACTAGTGCTTTAGACATATGGACTTGGACGTGAAGTAGAAGTGTGTCAATATGTTCCTTTTCGATTCTAATGGCGAAGGTCGTGCCAATGAGCGAGGTCCGTCAAGTCAACCTGTGACTTTGGGTATAGATCTTTTAAGGAAGGGGAAGATGGTCCATATTTTGGTGGTAGAAGCAAACTTAGCATAAAATATCAGTTTTTCAACCCAGACCAACCCAAGGGGTTGACCGCGGTCTCGATCGACCCAGTGCCAGGACCTGTCCGAGTTTAGACTAGGTGACAATAGACTTGTTCACAACCCAGTTTGATCCGGTCATTCCAAATATCTATTTATTTATAAATAACAATATAAATAGATATACATTTTATACATTAACTATTTATTATGATATACAATATTAATATTCAGATTAGAATATTTATATAAAAACATTTATTTATGTTACTTTTATGTATACTTATATGATAAAAATACTATATATGACTTTAAAAAATTTAAAAATAATTGTCCAATTATTGTTCAAAACTCGGTTTGATCGGTGAACTAGAGGCATTCCGACCGGTTTTGAAAATTATCGTTGGTAGTACAAACTTATCCACCCAATATATAATTCCCGAATGTGCTGAGCCTAAGTGGCAGACTCACATTCTTCGAGGTCCTAGGTGTCAAAATTCTATGCTTTATTATTTTGCTAGGATAAATTTTAATTTAATTCCAATAAAAAAAATAATTAGGTTCAGATTACCATAAATATGTTGATTTATTTATGATCATTTTAAATGTATTAATTGTATTTCAATATATTTTTCTATTATAACTATTTAATTGTAAATGTATTTAAAAAGTTGATAACTTTATATTTCTTATCGGTTTTACATATATAATATATCAAACTAGTATGAATCCCGTGCGATGCACGGGTAAGAGATATTCATTAAGATTTGTAAATTAAAAATGCTCATTAAATAATATTTATAAATTTAAAATATAAAATCAACTCGTACGGTGCACATAACTAATATTAAACTACATTATATCATTTCAAAATAATTGTCGTTTTGAAATTTTTATTCAGAAATTCAATTTGAATACAATGTGGTTACATAAAATAATTATTTTGATAAAATTTTATCATATATTTAAAAATCTATGTGAATAATAAGTAAAAAATAAATTTTTATATTATTTAATTAATTAAAATAAAATTATTTTTGTATAAACTCTTCACTTCAAAAAAAATTAAATAATTGAGTAATTTTTAAACTATAAGTAATTGACTATTCTAATTACCTCAAAGTTAATAAATAATTACTTATTTTCATTTTAAATTTGGAATCTAAATTTGGACTACACAATAAACATCCTTGTATATTTTATGTATATCTATATTTTACCAACCTCAACATTTTCTAGATTGTTGTCGGCTACCTTATCGTCAAATTTATCAACTAATTCTCTATTATTAAATTATAAATTTTAAGTTTTATTAACAAATATTTTTCTAATTTTTGAGAGAAATACACACCAATTTTCTTATCTTATGGCAAGTTATTATGGGAATATTTTAAAACAGTAAAGCTTGAGAATCATATCACCTTGATTTTTTAACAAATCAACCTAAACTTCGACTTTCATACTTGTACTAAATAAAATTCATACCACTTATTTTATTTTCAAAATTCAAATACACTTCTCTTCATACCAAATTAAATTTAAATTATTTAAGTTCGAACATTTTATACCAAAATAAAATCACCCTCTTTTTATTCATCATAATACTCAACTATTGTTTTATTCATAGATTTATTGTCATATACTATGTATTAAGATAATTTTTTAAATTAACCACTAAATTTTATTATATGCAAATATTTTGATATTTTTAACAAAGTATATTTTATACTCTTACAGCTTACACAACACAGAATTCTATTTACGCTACGTAGTATAAGAACTAAAACTCGACGAATTACTTTTTAAATATTCTAAAACACTAAAAGATATACAATTTCAATATAAAATGGCGTTTATGCGAGATTACATTTTTTAAGGGGAAACTCGTGCGTCAGACATGGCTTAAAATTTCAAATATTGATTTGTTAAAAATTAAGCAAATTATTTATTTTTGTAAACAAAAACAAATAAATTTTATAAATTCTAAATAAATTCTTAAAATCGTTTGATTTTTATTTATCATATTGCTATATAATAAAATCAAAATATTTTGAAATTTGAAATTAAAGCTATATTGGCGGGTTTTTTTTTTTCCGATTATTATTTTTTTCAAAAAGATTACAAAATTTATAGATATAAATATTGATGTATAATAAATTCAAAATATCATGTCCATGTGTTTCCTGTATGAAATGATATATCAAAATTTTAATTCCAATATCAATTGGGACGTTTATGGAAGAAAAGACATACCACAAAAAATATGTACAAACATTGATTTCTAAGTCAATTGATTTTTTGTTTTTTGTTTTTTTTTTTCAAATAATCGAAAAAAAAAGATAAAATGGAGAAGGTAAAAATCTGATTTCATTTTTTCTTTTTGTTAAAAAATCAAACTACAACTTAAAACAATTAGTCACCTATAAAAAAAAAAAATTGTTTCTTTAAGGTAGCTTTATTTTCGGGAAACAAAAGTAACAAATTCCATAATTTAAGGGCAACATTAATATTTTAGAAAAATAAAAATAAAAAAGTTACTAAAAATAGTAGGTAATTAATGCTGGCCAAAATTTGACCTACTATTTTAGAAAAATGGTACTCCCTCCTATTTTTTTTAAATGTCATTCTAGCTTTATCAACTATTTGCTAAATAAATGTCGTTTTGGATCTTTTGTACATATTTTTCCATTATTACCCTCATTTAGCTAATGTAATAAATACATTACGTCTTTTCATATTCACTCTTCACTTTTTCTCAAATCATTCATCTCTATCTTCATTAAATAAGGGTATTATTGACAAAAAAAATATTCTTAATTAATGTGCAACTTCTCAAAACGACATTTATTAAAAATAGGAGGTAGTAATTCTTTATATATATAGATTAATCATTTTTTGATGAACTTCGATTTGAAATCCATATTGTATATATAAAATAAATAAATTATATTTATCTTTATAATAATAAAAATTATTTATTAAAATTAATTAGAAAAATAAACTATTTCTCAAATAATATATTTATGTTTAATTTAGTTATTTGTCATAAGTTAGAAAAATTATTATAATATAACACTGTCAAGTCGCATGAGTAACAAGTATCGTACTACAAAAGTATTTAAATTTTAAAAAAAAATTTAGTAAACACCCATGTAATACACGAGTGTTGTACTAATTTTTATTTTATTTATGAATTCCTCGAACATTGGCCTGTGAGCTGTCTGTGAGAGAGAAGGATTAGTCCAGTGACTCTTTATTTGCTGGCACTCCAGATATTTATTTTCCTTCTATCCATATATCTAAAAAATATTAATTAATTTTTTTACCTATTTATTCTACTGA